AACGATATGAGCAAAAATAATTTTTTTTTTTTTTAAGTTCTGGAAATGACTATCAAAAGGAATTTTTTTTGTAAGGGTAATTTTATTCTGAAAAATTTTTATTCTTTTAAGATGGTATGACCGAGTAATTTAGGAATAATGGTATACTCTTAACATTGATTTATTATCATAGGATGAGAAAAGAATTTTGCTTCCCGCTGACATCTTTTAAACCTCAAGTTTTTATTGGAATTTTTGTTTTTGAAAAAACCAACAAAAAAAAAAAGAGATAGACTTTTTTTCTGGGAAATTTTAGTTCATGCGAGATGTCACGTTAAGTTATCATTACTTTTGTCAAATAAATTTCACTCATTTACATCGTTTAAAACGTTTAAGTGCCGAAAGTGAAAATAATCTTCAGTTAAGAATGAGAATTGAGTCACGCTAGACATTTGATGAAATTTTAATCAAGAAATAATGGTGATTACTGAAGAAAATGATAATAGATGTAATTCTACTCATGCCACTGAAAAAAAAAATATCATGGGTTTTTAAAAACTTGAAGTTTAGCAATGATCGATAGCGGAAGGTTTGGAAGTTTTAAAATTGATCTCGGAATATTCTTTAAATTAAAAAAATTCCAGCTACTTGATAATTTCGATAATTTGTTCATAATTTTGCACAGAATGATACATTTATGAGTTTTCAAAAAAAAAAAAGAAAATCACACATATTAACTGATTGATGAATGATGCGATTCGGAAAATGTATAAAATTCTTAAATAATTAACTTTGAACTTGTATAAAAAAAAGGTCATTGTTATTGACACCATGCAAGCCATCCGATATTTCTAGAATAATTTTTAAAATTAAGAGGAATTTTGTTATTAAAATTTTTTGCAGCATTTTTTTTTCTTTAAAGATGTTTTGAGTAAAAAATTTACTCTTTCATAATTTTGATGAATAAATTTGGTTTATGTTTTTTTTTTCAGGTAGTTGAGAAACTAGTTTTATCTCTTTATGATAGATTTATCTTCAATAGTACTCTTCCTTTTCTCTCTTTTTATCTTATTGAACCAGTTTCACATACTTTCCATCTCCATCAATATCGATATTTCAATAGCAGTTAAAATTAACATCAAAATTAGTGGATCAGTCAGGATTAAATACTTGACTTCCAGCGTAAATTTTTAATGTAATGAAATGTGAATGCTTATTTTTGGTTATTGATTAATTTTTTGAATGTGAATTTACATGCTAATTATCATTAGTGGATTAAACGCTATGATAACAGAAATATTAGAATTTTTCTAATTTTAAAATGATTTTAGAAAAAAAATTAAAAAGAATATAATTTTTAGGACATTAAAAAATTCCTACGCTTCCGTTAACAGAAATTGTTAAAATATGTTGTTGAAAAATATAATTATATTGGATACTATTGATTATATATTTTTATGTTAATTAATTTGCAATTTTAAAATCAATTAATTCATACATAAATGAAAATTTGTTTTATACCAAAATCAATTTTGTTTAAACTTTCATGCATGTATATTAAGTTATTATCGTCATTGTTAATTCATAATAATTAATAATTATTTTATGCTTAATAATTTCTTGTTAAGATTAATTTTTTTCCTTTCTCCTACAGTAGGAATGTACAGTATAATTGCAATTTTCTTCTTTAATAGTGTATGATATTACTGTAACGATACCATTTTGATTAGATTATTTTATGAGTTTTGCTAGGAATTCTCATTAATAATGTATTTAATGAGATAATTAAGTTTATGAGTATATCGAGAATAACGTACAATGAAGAATTCATATTATTACCAACAAGGTGTTATAATTGCAAAGAGAAACAATCAAATTTGGGATTAATTTCTGTTAAGAATGATTTTAATAGAAATTCATTTACAACTTAATTAGTTCATTGACCTTTTTTTTTTCACATAAGCTTTATAACAAATTAATGTGGTAATAAAGAATCGTTTTGTCAACTGCAATCTTTACACTTATATTTCCTCATTTTATTGCATTCTTCCTATTTGCATTAGTGATTCGGTTGACCTATTCAATCTTCCTATTTAAATCAATGATTAGATTGACCTATTCAGTCTACGTATTTAAATCAATGATTGAATTGACCTATTCAAACATACATACTTTACCATTGATCATTTTTCAACTACTTCAATTTTACCATCTTAATTTTGCTTTTTTACACCATATTAATATCTTCATATCGATGCTTTAAAACTATCTAACAAATATAGTAATATTTTAATTTTAATTTACTATTATTGATTAAAAATGATACTGTTTCATCATCTACTAGTTTCTATCAAAAACTTTTTTAAAAACAAAAATTTTAAATCAATTCTATCAAATCAAATTTTTTAAACAAAAATTTAAAGCATTTTCGAAGGCAAATACAAAATGATAGAAAATAATGTGTAAGAAAAATTTTGCTAAAAAATAGTTCACCTTTGGAAATTTATATTCTGGCAACATCAAATATTCAATATCATTCTAATCCTTTTACATTTTTTTATTATCTAAAAATTAGAAAAAATTTATCTGTTCTAATAATTTTACGGAAATTTTAGCCAAATTTTCTTCTTTAATTACTCAATCCTACATTGTTCGAAACATTTTTAGTGGCTTTTTTTTTTTCTGACAGCTATTTTTTACATTTTTGGTTGTAATTTTTACGAAATCGAAAAATTTATAACTTTAACAAAATAGAAATGATAAGAGTAGCACAAGAATGAATTTAACATTTAGTTTTACAATGTATATTAATTATTGAACAAATAAATTCATTATTACGTTTAATGAAATGGAAATGAAATGAAATAAAATGAAATATCGTAAACAATACAATCACACTGTATTTATTTATAGTTTATTTATAGAAATGATAAAAATATATATATACATATATGTATGTTATTGTTATTATTGTTATTGCTATACAAAATGATGAGAAATTTTTACAGTTACAAAGAAGATGGCAATCATCTGTAATAAATTCACAGGATATCATAACCGTAACCGGTACTGTTACTACAACAACAACAACTACTACTTCTAGTCCTATTACTACTACTACTACTACTACTACTACTACTGATATCATCAATGACAATAATGATTTATTACAAGAATTATTTTGTGAGGCATGTAGTACATTGTACAACGATATCCTAAATGCCATCGATCATCAAACGGTTCGTCATTTTTAATTCATTTTTTTTAATTTGCTTAAACTTGTAGTAAAACTTGTTCTTACAAAAAAAGCAAATTTTATGTGAAAAACGATAAATTCATATTTTAGTGAAATGATTTTTTTTTTCCGTCAAATTATTGTATCATGAACAAGAGAGATGAATGAAAAAGCAAAAATATAGTAATTCTATTTGTTT